TTGGCGAGTCGCATGAAGGGTGCGCTGCATCCTGCTAAGGGTGTTCGGCATCTTGTGCTTGCTTCCTTGCATACGGATGACAGGTACTTATGCCTTAATATGTTTTCTAGTCCTTTCACTTCCAGAGACAGCGATAAGTACTGTGTAACTGACTCGAGGGTGCTTGACCATTTTGACACAACGTGGTGCGATCATCCCCCTTGCGCGGAGTGAGGGTTCTCGACCCCGCACAACATGATCTGCTCGACCACCATGATGGTTACCGCCAAAAAAAAAAAACAGGGTTAAAAAAAAAACGGTAACCTGGTTGCCGAGTTCACGAAGTGAGTTGGCTTGTTTTACAACGTCGTTGCCAAGCGACGAAAACCCAATCCCGATNAAACGGTAACCTGGTTGCCGAGTTCACGAAGTGAGTTGGCTTGTTTTACAACGTCGTTGCCAAGCGACGAAAACCCAACCCCGATTGCGGGTTACTGTAGGGGTGGCGTTATCGCCGAAGAAGTACTACACCAACGCGGACCTGTACCAGCTGCTGGATCCCAATGGGGACGAGGTGCCCTACGTCTACAACAACTTCGAATGGTCTCATTGTGATGTGAGTTGAGGTTTCAGGGGGAGGTATTGTCCTGGTTGTCTTGATGCCCTCGGAGAGCGCCGGTGATGTGATCCCGTGATTTTGAGTTGATGGTTAGGGTTCCGGTAGTCGTTCCCGTGCTTTTATGTCTTCGTCGAGACACGCATCTGGGCTGAGACAAACGGGGGTCCTTTCCAACGGAAATTACCTCTTCCATGGTCGCACTTGGCCAGCAAGGTTATCCCACAGGGAAGTATGTAGATATGCCATTTTGTCTGGAGGTGGCTCATGACCCGATCACGATGTGCTGTGAGCCCGTGTGGGCAAGATCCCCTTTGGTTTGGTGTCATGGTATTCACTCACATGCAGGGAGAACGATGAGTGCGTGCCGAATGACAACGCCTCCCAAACTTTGTTTGGCCGGATGCTTTTCGCCACATCCGTCTCGAGCCGTCGTAGCGACGTTGTCGTCGTCGCGGTCATGGCATAGCGCGCGTTTCAGACAGCCGCATGATCTTGAAAACTGAAGTTAATGCCGAGGCTTGTGTGCTGTGTCCTCACCCCCGGCCGCTCTCACTTCGATCTATTGCGCAGGAAATGGGCATCCACATTGGGTGATGATGTCGTTCAACCTTTGGCTACATCGGGAACATCTCACCGTTGAGGCCGAAGGGAGCAAGCAGTGGGGACACAGACCAGGAAGAGCCGTCCAGAGCAGCGACGATATGATGGTGGTTTCGTCCTCTACATCTACTGGCCGGATGGTGGACGCGTACCACACAGGAATATGATGTATGCATGTTATGACCGGATGCATATCAACATGTGAAGTTGCGTGTTGAGACTGCTCGGCTTCGGGAATCACCAGCCAGTTTGAGGTTTGAGGATCAATCGTGTGCTTGGGTCGAGAGCTCCCTCAATTTTGGTCCAAAAGAAAATGAATCTATTGCCGAGGGTGCTTGGCAGGAGAATTTGTATGACTTTACCCGTGCCATACGTGCACGAATGACTCGCCGGAATAACAAATCGGCACTTCCAACAGGACGCGAAAAGTGATACTATTGGGCAACGTAACATAGTGTGACATGCACATCCGCGGCGTTCATTGTTCTAGGACTGGGCCGCTTTTCTTTCTACTTCTAGGGCTAGATCGCCTCTAGGGGACACTTTTTGTCCCCATCTTCTTCACCTGCTTTACCTCGCGAAGAATGGCATTATTGTTTCCTCCTTTGAACAACTCGACCAGGGGGGGTGCCAGGGTACACGGGGACGACTCTAATCTAGTATAGATGCTTTTTAGAGTGGAGGATAATGAGGAAAATGAACAGGTCAAATCGCGGGGCGATTACGCCGCGGGTTCAACAGCGAAATTGCGCCGCGTCTGCCTACCCTTGGGTGGAAAGCGCTACTTGGGGCAAGCGCGGAAGAAGTACCTAGCCCACCGTTGATAGGAGGCACCGGGCGACCTAGGGCTTGGGTTAGAAGGTCTCGCTTTCCCTCTAGAGAACTATCTTGAAACCTCGTTTTCGTGCCGCGTTTTCCACGCTCCCGCCAGTTGCTGCCTAGACACTACTTCCTATCAATTGTCCTTTCGATTATCGAGAGGACAATTGATAGGGATTATAGGCAAGAGCCGGCTCAAGTGGGAACGCAGCTTTGCACTTGCACCCAGGGATGGAACTGTCTGCACCATACAATCAGCAGGCGTCGTTCGCTCTTTTTCGTACATTTCAGAAAATTTCGCAAGAACGCCGTGTTAAGAGGTTTGTTCGATTGTGGACTTTTTCGACGTTATCCTAATGTTCGGTTGGTCCTTGGGCTGCACCCTGCAATTGCCCGCTGTCTTTACTTCAAGTATGTGTTTGGATGCCAGGTTTCACTACGTAGTTGTGATGCATTTCTGTTTGACGGCATGGACAGTTTTGCTGGCCCAATCTCTGTGTGGATGGGACCTGTGAATCTCTGTGAATGAATATGCGTTGGCCATTTTTTGCAGGTGTTTCGACCTCCACCCGACAAGGCATTCCTGCTCGTCAAGCGTTGAAGGGGGCTAGAGCTCAAGAGTTTTAGTAGCGGTAATGAATTCGGGTGTTGAGATTTGATGTGTGGTTGCGATACATTGACTGTCCATGTCGGGGGCGGCGCATTGAAACCAAATCGGTGGAGCAGGTTTCCAATTTTGTTCCCGTTCTTGCTCGCGCACTACGCAGCAGCTGGGTTCGGAAGTGGTTTTCTGGTATCTCTGCTGTGGAGTCGTTCTGGATGAAGATTTGTAGCCGAACGTTTCAAGCGTAGGCAAGTGTGATGGAATGCGGATATTGTGTATATTGTCCTTTGTTCTATGACATATGTTTTATTGGATGGCGAGGGAAAGGAATGAGGGCTCATAAGGGGGCAGATTGCATCTAGCTGTCTTGGCTGCTTGGGAGGGGTGGGGCGCACGATGAGAAAAACAGAAGAGGCATGCATGTCCGGTGCATGACATAAGGTATGGACAAGTACGAGGGTGCACAAATAAACGATCATATGCATTTGGTAAAGATCACACCCGAGAACTACTCATCGCTTCCCGTATTCTGTTTGTTTTTCCCCCCGTTTGTCCGTATTGCTTGCTGATATATCTGTTGTTTGGATTGCTTGGTTGTCTTTCTTTGTGTTGGACCGAATCCGGCGTCAACCTTCGGCCGCATTCTCTGGCTTGCAAAATCGGGTGCTCCGTCCGTCAATGGTGCGTACGCACGTTCTACAACCGCGATACATACGTTGTCGAGAGAGCGTGAACCAGCTCATGAAACAATTTAGACATACCTATTTCGCAATACTCAACGACACCTCTTCGACAAACGATATGGGCCTTTGGTCAACATCCATAGCCTGCATCCCGATGGCATTCACTCCAATATTCTACCAGGCCAGTGTCCCACCCCCTGACATACGTTCACTCTTGTTCACACGTACGGGTATATGTATATTGGGCTTGCGCTTTTTCAGCGCCGGCTCACAGGTGCTGATAAAACTGTCGAGTCCACTGAAGACATGGTTTCAGTGAATCTCGTGCCGGAACCTGAAGCGTTCGTTCTATTGTGATTGGTGCCAGGAGCCGCAATTCATTCCTTCCGCCACTACCACCATGGCTCACTCGGGGGGTTCCCTTTGCGCCGCATATTCCGTGTGAAATATTCATGATTGTACGAAACGCCCTCATCGTCATAGCATCGACTTGCGCCATTCCAATATCGTCTTCTCGCTGCCGCCACCGAGATCCGCGGCTTCTCATTTGGCTACATTCAACGAGCGAGGTAGTTGATATTTCAATGCCCAATAGCTGCACAGAATGGCCACCCTCGCACTTCATTGCGATCAATTATCCTATTCGCCATCTGCATTATATACGTTTTCCTTCGCCTCCTTCGCTACGCATAAAAGTTTCTATAAAACATAGTCTACAGCTCGATCAACCCGTACGATGTGATTGTTCTTCCCGTCCCGATCAAAGTCTCACCAACCATCCCCGTCAAGCGATGATTCTGGCGGAGATTTGACCCCAGTGAGGCCATGCTTCATGCCTTCCTTCCCAAACCGCACTGTCTTCGAACATGCTGGTGAATTAGTCTAGACGACGAACGATATTCCCTGCTTTTGTCCAACGTAGAACCTTTCGGGTTGTGGTGCGCACTCCTTCGCCCTCTACACACAGTTCATTGTTGGCGAATCGACCAGGGTCCCACAAGAGACCTACGTCGGCAGTCCACGTTGGTACTTCGATCCCTCGGCAAGTTGCGTGCTCTGCTGGGGTCATGTTGATGTCTATCGCGCGATTTGTGTGTTTTGATAAATTCGAAATCTGTTGGGTGGTTAATGGCGCTGTTGCACCTTGTCACGAAGGTTCAGGAATGAATGTATCACAGGAAAAATCGGCCTGTATCGCTTCGCGTCGGGTCTACCAGGCAGCAGAACATGCAATATGCGTAGCGATCGAAGCTCAGGCGGGATCTTAATCAGACTGTCGCAATGAAGACACACCAGGGAGCGTCAGACGTCCGAGAGGTAAATCATCACGTGCATCATCTATCGGGAAGGCGACGAAAGGCAAACACGCAGGGGGGATACCGTCTCTCATCCCGCGCGGTTGTAGCATGTAACAATGTTAGCACGAGGACCCAGGGTTTAATGAACTGATCGTCCTGGAGTGGGAGAGGGAATCTAATTTAATCACTTGCTGTAATTGCTGAATCCGACCAAAGTTGTCGTCAGGATTCTTTGGAGGGAACTATGCTGCCCTTTCGAGCCGAACTGGGTTTTGCCTGAGACGGGTTGCGGGCTCCGCCTATTCTATTCCCCGCCAATCCTTTTGGTTTCGCTAGGCGTACAAACGGTGACGATGGCATTCGATTGTTTACCATGGGCTTACAGAAGACGAGGTGCGGGCTAGACTAGTGCGCGGAGGTCAGAGGCGTTTTGCATCAAAAGACGGCAACTTGATCCGAATGCAATGGATCCTCAACTGTCACGCCGAAACGATTCTCATCACTCGATAGAGCAAATACCGTACGAAATCACGAGATCCAAGTAGCCAGGACTGAGGCCGCAGTCGCCCGTTCGCATTTTTTATTTCTTTCACCCCATAGGTTCTGGAGCTTGTCACCACACCTTTCGGTACAATCTCTGGACATCATGCCCGGGGTCACAAAAGAGAAAGGCCACACAGGAGATAAACATCTCCGTCTTCCGTCAGCCGCGAACGACTCCCTCGTGACGGTAAAGTCGGATAATACAGGATTTGCGTACAAACCCACGAGTACTGCGTTCTGCATTTCTTTGAGCGATTGTGAGAAAAATCCTGGTACGTGTAACTGCGCCGTCAGTCGAACCCATGTCTCAAACGTCAGGACGTTCCGCCACTGTGATGAGAAACACACCATTCTGGTATCACTTGCGACATAAAGGGTCGGTCGAAAGTCAGTAGGGGCAGAACATAGAGCTGACGCCTCAACGGTATGTTTGTCTCACGAAGCCCCTCCAGTCCTCCTGCAGGGCTACATCCCTATATCAAGCCGATCGAGAGAAAATTATCCATTCCATCTCTTTCCGAGAGCGTTTCAAGAAGCAAAGGGACGTCAAACCCATTCGCCGGCACACATGCGTATCGGACGAACGTCGAGATGATTGGAGGAATATCCAGATACCACATGTGGGCTTCACAATTCAAAACATGCACAAGCGCGTCGGTCGACGGTTAAGTTGAGAACCACCGACCACCTAGATACCGCAAGATGTTTCCCGACTTGTTATCACAGACGACAAAGCAACATGCACCGGCAAGTGCATGGAGCCCATCCCGGCCCTCGAAAGTAAACAAAGCCTCGGTGAAAGCCAGCCACACGTAGGACCGAACCAACGAATTGAGACAACACCAACTTTCCAACGACGCAGCCAGGTCAGGGCCCGCGAGGATTTCCCAGCCGCCACCTCGTGCGCCCCCAAAACAAGACAAAAATTTTACGCACGCAGTGGCAAATCAGGAGAAATATCTGCGCCATGTTTTGCCGTCCTCGCTCTCCCTCCAAGACAGCCCCCAACCCCTCGGGAGCTCAATTATTCATGTATTGGGGTAATCAGAATGCGCTGCTACACCTTGGCAACATTGACCGTGTTCCCTTTCGCGACGAAGAAAGAGCGGCCGTATCAGCGTAAGCATTGGGGGGTCAGCCTCCCAATACATATGACCACGCTTTGGGAAACCGAGTTCTTTGACGACGTTAACCCTACGCACTTGTACGTAGCATGGATTAAAGCCACGACATGGACATGACCCCGCAAAGCTTCTATCAGTCCGCATGGCAGCGGAGCAGCAGAAGCGGCAGCGGCAATCGCACCAATGGGAAGTCGTGCACATGAAGCAATGAACTGTTTCTCGGTGCATTGTACAAGAGGACCCAGGGTTCTATCCATCACAGCATAATCCACTGGGCACAAGTACTCACCCCGAAGTACTGATCGTATCTCTGCGCACGGACGCAAGAAGAAGCCACGACGCACAGCATCACGACCGAGCCCCCGTCCAAACGAAGGCGGCATAAGGCATTCGACGCGTGCAGCACAGACGGTATCGACGCAACCGCCAGGGGAATCCTCGACGGGCACATCATGGTCGCGGCAGTGCCGAACAAAGCGGGGGTGGGGCGACGGCGGTGAGGGCTGAAGCAACGGACCCGTGTGTATCGTGAGCTATGCTTGGAAAAATTAGGGGTTATAACTAGCCGAAGGTCGGTGACTGTATGTCACACTTGCGGACCAGAGAATCAACTGCGCGAAACGTGGAACGGGCTTCTTGAGGGGGAAACTCGTTCACACGTTGTATCATACGGACGAACTTACATCTGGAGAAAAAAAACAGCCCCACCACCTCTTAGTGTTCGATGGTGGCGCAAGGTTC